CTTACCTCTAATTGTGATTATAATGAGTGATGAGATGTACTGTAGATATGGATGATGTGAATGGATGTGAATGTATGTCAATGTATTCACTGCTCCCTCAAAACACACAACTGTCCGCTCATTGAGTGAACACAACTCCCAACACAACATCACATCAACAACACTAACACTACTCACACCCGACCACAGGTGGCGCTACCCTTCCCTCCCCTCCCGGCCCTCACAGACAACACATTCATTGACTCGATTTGACTCCAATTTGCACTGAATCTGCATTTCGTGTCCAAACAGTTTAGAAACACTTTTCTCGTCTCAACACAACTCCCCATTGAGTCCAATCTCTCAGGTATTTCTCACTCAATCCTTTGCTCTCCTCTTCGATCCATTGAATGACAATTGAATGTGTGGTTAGAAGAATGGGTTCAAAGATGGCTCAAACCAATTGGGAAATGGCCAACAGTATGGAAAACGTGGAAAGTATTGACGAGATCTACAAATACAACCGCAAACAACAACAAGACATCCTCACAGCCAAGCCGTGGGAAAAGGAGTGAGCATTACATGCATTACAAGCATTACATCATATAATTGATTGATCGCCGCTTTGTCTGCTTTTAGTCCTCACTATTTCAAAGACATCCGCGTGAGTGCATTGGCAGACAACTTCTACCACTACGTGCGGTCTTCACCACCGTGAGACCTTCACTACCCAGACAACAACCCGTTTCACCTGCGGTTGTGTTACTATCGCTACCTGAGCAAACGCGACGGCCAACTCCCCTGTCAGACGCGAGTGAACGCTCAGGCGCAGGCCTATGAGTATATGGCCGCTTACACCGAGTCTGCCAAACAGGTGGGCCGACTCGAGAACGTGATCGGTTGGTATCACTCGCATCCGGGCTACGGGTGTTGGCTGTCGGGCATCGATGTGTCCACACAAATGCTTAACCAACAATTTCAGGAGCCATTCGTGGCTATAGTGATAGACCCGACGCGGACCATATCGGCAGGCAAAGTGAACCTGGGTGCTTTTCGCACTTACCCCAAGGGCTACAAACCGCCCGATGAGGGGCCCTCTGAATACCAAACCATTCCGCTCAACAAAATTGAAGACTTTGGCGTTCACTGCAAACAATACTATTCGTTAGACGTCTCGTACTTCAAGTCATTACTCGACCACCGATTGCTCGACTCATTATGGGATAAGTATTGGGTGCACACACTTAGCTCTTCCAGTCTTCTCACGGTATGTCCTAAATGTCCACAACTATTAGATTTGAAGGATTAATAATCTATTGATTGATTGTCGACCGCAACAGAACTCGGACTATACGACGGGTCAGATATTTGATTTGTCGGACAAACTGGAGTACTCTGAGGGCCAGTTAGGTCGCGGAGGGTTTATGCTTGGAATGGATCCGCACGAGAAGAGAACTGAAGACAAACTGTCGAAAGCGGCCAAAGATAGCTGTAAGACAACTATCGAAGCCATTCACGGACTCATGTCTCAAATAGTTAAGGACACGCTCTTCAATAAAGTGGTTCCTTAGCGACAACTCATAACTAATTGTATTTGTCATTCAGTGATGACTCGATTCCGCATTATTTCTATAATATTTGCTATTAATTGCTATTAAAATATGTAATTCATTTCAAATACAAATTAAATTCATGTCAATTCTTAAACTATTGTCAATTCATTTTCTATCAAAATAATATATGAATTCAAAGAAATGATTCGGCATTAAGTCCAGTAATGTATTTCTATGAGAGACTCAAAGTTGTGATTACTTGAAAAGTTCATCCGATTTCGACAAATTATATACGGTACCAAATTGTTTGGAATAAAATATGACGAGACGTATATCAGGATAATATATCCAGAGTTTAGCAATTTAGAGTATTTCTTATATAATGTATATTGAATTGGATTATCATTTTTTATGGATTATATATTTCTATCGGTTTTAAAGTGATTTATAGATTTAGTGCAAAACAAAACGCAAATTATTTATTTGTTATTAGATTAGATTATTATTATTACAATTATGTTTAGTTATGTTATAAGAAATAGTTATAATTTACTTAATTATATAAATAAAAATATAAATTGATTTATAAAAGCATTATTTATTCATGTGTTAAAATCGCGGGAAATGCGAGAATAGTTTGTATTTATTGTATTATTTGTGAGAATTTTTAATTGAGAGTAAATTTAAACACGTTTTGAGACAATACTATTTAGATATTCAATTTAATATTTTAATTAATTTTTAAATACATTGAAATTTAAACATTAATTAGCAGTAAATCATTAAAAAAGGAATTAATTTCGTATATANGAGAGAGAGAGAGAGAGAGAGAGAGAGCATGGAAGCGTACGCGAACACTACGTCTACCCCACAGGCCGTCGAGGAAGTGTTGCGAAGAGCGACGGCGGGGTTTAGCGGATCGGTGTTGGTCTATAAGCCGGAAGCACAGCATCGGTTCGATACGATTACGTGCAAAAGGACGGCCTCTAACGACGATATCGAGTACTGCGTCCGTTGGGTTGACACGAAAGCGACCCCCAGGGAGGGGAAAGTGTCGGTGAACTACAGTTGGGAGAGCGGTGTTGAGCTGTTGAAGTGCCCTCAATATCGGGCTTTTGTGGACGAGTTTGAGGCCCGTATCGACACCACCCCCACCGCCGCCCCCGTTATCAATGATCGCCCTCTAAGTTCACCACCACTTACATCGTCCGCGCCGGCGGTCACCACACCCTCAGAGAGCACTGATGGCCAGTCGACGAGCGCCGACAGTAGCGTACAGGAGGGCGACGAGAAGGGTGTGAACTGCAACTCATTTCTGGAGTTAATAGACTTGGATTGGGTCGAAAACAGTGGTAATAAACGCAAAGTTGAAGACAGCCAATCAGTGGCGGCGCCGCCACCGCCAGCCAAGAGAGGCAGAGGTCGACCGCCCGGTCCGGCAAAGTGTGGCGGCAAAGCGCCCGCCGCTAGAGGTAGGGGTCGCGCCGGTTCATCGACTGCGGCGCGTTCTGTATCGCCAAGAGTTGGTTCCGCCCGACCGGCGCCCGATGTTGTGGACGGCGTCCGCCGCGAAACAGATGGCGAGATTCAATACTATGTCCGCTCGTTGGCCACCAATTCCGGTGAGTTTGTCCGCTCGAGTGCGGCCCGACTCCAGTGGCCGGACCTGATTGTCGACTATTTGGAGAGTAATCTCGTTATACGCGACAAATCGTAGATTTGTTTTCATTAGCTTTTGTCACAAAACAAGCATTTCTTTTAATTGTGTTTTATTTTCTATTAATTTTTTATACGTTTAATTCAACTTTTCTTATTCTAATATCTAATGCCTCTATATTTGGAGAACTCCCGAATAAAATTAGTGAATAAAAACATCGGGAATTACACCATTCAAGTAATCAATGTTAATACCATTCTATGAAATTTTTCTTACAATTTAGAACTTACTTGTTAGAATTTATCTTTCATCTATTTTTGACATACAGTAATTAACTTTAACTTTAAGTCATTAATTAATTAATTGTAACCCTTTTTCCCTACAAAAACACTGCCGACAATTACACACAATGTGTCACATACTGGACACACATTACAAAAAAATAACCGATTGTACCAAAAGTGACACAATTTGGTCCCTATCTGTACAACACAGACAGACAGTCAATACAAAAATGTAAATCACAATAAAAACACACGATTTGTGTGTTTTCGCACTATTTGTGCATAAAATTTAAATAAAGTTTCATTTTTAAATAAAATTTTTTAATTAAATTCATTAAAGTTATGTGAAATTCATTATAACTTTAGAAATACTGTATAATACATTATAATTGGACATATATTACATTACATTATATCATGTACTGTACTTAAAATTGGTTATAATTTATAAACAAGGCAAAGTGAAAATGTGAAATTAATAGTGAACAACAAAATATCAATTATATTGCATTTAAATCTCATATATTTTGCCGATTTATAAAGCTGTTGATTAGCCACGGGTTGGTGCCCGCAGTGCTGGCCATAGCTCTCTGCGAAGACAAATCGGTCGGGTATTGCACTAACGGAGAGTGTGATGGCGTGTGAGGGCTCGCTTTGCTAAATTGCTTTACATTTTCATGACCAAGCACAACATTTACAAGTTTACAATTGGTAAATGCTCTACATGTATAGGCGTACAGAACTGTGCTGAACGCATATGAGTATCAATACGAAAATACTTGAATTTACCATAATGTTGTATCACTATTTTTCATGTAGGTAAAACTGATTAAAAAATTTTAAACAAAACTTTAAATGTAAAATTATCAACATATTGCTTGAGTAAATTATTTGGGTGTCCGAGTGATGAGGGAATAGTATATCTGGATAACAAGTGTATGTGTATTGAGGGATACATTGATATAAACGGTGAGTGTCTGAGACCAGCACTGGTAGGCGAGCCGTGTCTGTCCTCTAAACAAAGCTCACAATTGGACGCAAACGCCCAGTGCTTTGCCATCGATGACCGGTTCCAGTCGTGGTGATGCCATCAGGACTACTACTACTCCATCAATAACACCGGTAGCGTTAAGTGCACAAAAAGATTACTTTATGGTGAAAAGTGTTTGACAAGTGACCAGTGTTTCAGTGGTCACAGTGTGTGCGATAGTGAGGGCGCAACAGATCACTGTATTTGTGAACACAATTACACGTTTGACGCGACGACCAATCAGTGCAGACATAACGGCAGCTATTCTTGTGGTACTGAAGAGGAATGGAATCAATTGAGTGGCAAATGTCAGCCAAAGCACTACTATAGCCATAAAGGCGGAGGTAATGAATAAATAATATTTTTATTTTTAATCTAAAATTTTTAAATAAAATATATATTTTACTTATTATAGGAGGACTGTACCGATTACATAACATACATACCCGCCAGGGATGTAGTAATTTTTAATACTATACCTTTAATATGGTAATAATAAATTTATATTTTAAATTATGCTAGCACAATATTTATAAGTAGGGAGGAATGAATCTTTAGTGTTGATTAATCTTATACTAAAGATGTCAATACTCACTATATATAAAGTTGTTTCAATTTAAATAATTTGTTTGTGAACGTTTACCATGATGCATAAATTACATAAAACTCGGCCCAGCTCGTGTAACGCATACTTGTTAAATATATTATATGCTTTAACAAGATGAGCATAACTTAATGCACATTACCGAGTTGTTGAGTCAAAATTTATTCAAATAAACGATACTGTATAAAAATGCTTTTAACAAAAACTTACCAGTTAAATGTTTCTAATGAAATTTAGTCAGAATAAGATTCTAGAATAAATTATTTATAATAATCACCAATTTAGTAATTTTTAAAATACTTTACCAGTCATTCAATGTTAGTTATTTTATATTTTTAATTGATCTAGCACAATATTTAAAAGTAAAAAAGGTCTGAATCTCTAAATTTAATTAACACCGAGATTACGGACTTTTTTACTTGTAAAAATTGTGATAAAGTATACGTAAAATAAATTTTTAGTAAACATTTAAACATGATGAATTAATTACGTTTACCATGGTTCATGTAAAGGTATAAATGATTGGCAAATGCTTAACATGTATAAATTTACAGAACTGTGCTTAACGCATATACTGTCGGTACTTTGAATTTACCATTATGTTGTATCACTATTACTGATTAAAAATGTTTTAACAATACTTTTGCTTGAGTAAATTATTAAACATTTAAACATGTAGCTTGATTTACTGAAAAAAACTGCTCAAAACAAAGTCTACAAAATGTAAGTTTTTAATAAATGTCTTGAGTTTATATACACCAGATATCTCGCTGTAAGCCGCAACCACGATTTCATCAGGCTAAATTTAGTTTAAAAATATTCATTTAAATCATTGGCTTAACCAATCATGCGGTTCGACCATAACCTAACACTATTTCTTATGAAATTCACAATGTTTTTGTGGGCTTTGTATTGCAAGTATCCCATTTACTTACTGTACATGCATTTAGTTATGACTGCAAATTGCAATAATCATTAAAGTAATGGTCGAACCGACGTTCGAAAACCGGCGTTCAGTTAAACATATGCTTTATATGCTATACCTGTGGTAACACAAAAGGTATCAATACATGTGTAAATGGCTTAAAACATTATGAAATAAATATTTTCAATTTTACAAAAGCACGGGTGGGCTCAGAGACAGCGATGTTGGTGGAGATGCGCTCTCCCTTTGCACGGGGCCCGCAATGTGTTAATGTGCTTTTGGTGCTTAACAGTATCGATAGGCCAACAATAATTGTTGTTTTGATAGATTTATGTAAACGTTTTTTTTATAAAAATTCATAAATGTACAAAACGTTTAGATTACTAGTAAATTCTCTCTCTCTCTCTCTCTCTCTCTCTATCTCTCTCT